CAGTGAGCCGGAGAAGACCTTCGTAGATGGATTGACCCCTCACTATAACCGTGGGCTCACACACGGCCACGTTGTGAGAATGACCCAAGACAGTGTTGCTGTGATGTGGGACCAACTCGGTGGCATCTCACAATGAAGGAGGAGACTTTGGCTAGATTGGGAAGGCTGCCTTCTGTGCTGTGACACCCTTAGTCGGCGATTCGAAACCACCCGCAGCTCCGTGGTGGGAGGAGGACTGGGCTTTCTCCTCCCGTAACAGTTAGTCTCCAGAACCCGCCGTGGGGGCGCCGCGAGTCAGCACTGACTTAGAGGCAGTGGGTTTGTTTGTTTGTTTGTTTTTGAATCTCTAATTGAATTCCCCGTTGGATTTCTCCTACGTAATTATGATTTAATATTTATGTGTGGAAACAAGTGTTTGCTCCGTGAAACGGCTATAGGGTTCTCTTCCTTTCCTCTGTACCTTACACCTTTCTCTGTGCGACGGCGGAGCAGAACACACTTCTCTGTATCGGTGAATTTTCTACAACATTAACTGGGAGCTAGATAGTCTATCTACGCCTCTCTTGATTTTGAAATACATTTTAAATCGAAAGTAGCTGAGAAATGACCTTGAATTTGTTTCTGATGAACTCTAGGCGTAGGTAGGCCTGTAACTTTGGTCAAAAGGATACTATCACTAGGAGATCAAGGTCTATTGTGATGGCGATGCTATGTGTCGCCACGTTCTGCCACGTGGGGGCAGCATCACCTCTCCATTCAAGTACCAAACTCCTGTGTGGTTTGGATGCAGGGAGTACTCAGAGAACAGGAGGCACAGGCTGAGGGATAAATTTTATGCACTACCAAATACTGTAAAGCCCTGGAAACATCCCACCACGGTCAAAAAATTCCTGGGTTCCGGTCTTGGTTGTAACTAACTTTCTGGGTGAGGGCTTTAGGTCAGATGAATTCTGAATGTGCCTTGCATTCCAATTTCTCTGGCACGCACAGCCGTCTAAAAGAAAGCTAGACTAAAGGTCTCTGGATGACATTTTGTAGAATTCTATTTTGCATCCCCCCCCCCCCACCAATCAAACTCATGTTTCTGACTACACATGTGCTGTCACCGGTGCATAATTCTCATTTTCTTTCCTTGAGCGGGTGATCGTATTTCCCTGTAAATGCATTCTTGTATACAATATGCTTGTCTCCTCCGAGGAAATTGGTTTACACTTTGTGGTTGAGGCACTACAAGGGCAAAAGAGAAATGCTTTGTAGCTTCCTTTCATCCCCATCTTTCAGCAGGAAGCTCACTCACACCCTATCTGCCTATCGCAGCCACCCCACAGTAAGAGGAGGTACCAGCAATTGGCATCTGTGGTTCATAACAAGCTTCATGGGCCCCCAAATAAACTTTCACCCTTTCCTTTTTTTTTTATTTCTTAGGAATGAAAAAAATAAAAACAGTTAAGCTCCAAGGAAGAAACGTTTTGAGATCTGACAGTTTCCCGATAATGTCAGAAAATGAAGGCGAGGAAAAAATGACGTGAAATGTACATTAGCATAAATCTCCACGTGCTCCAATAGATGAAAAACATCACCATAAAATTCTGCCGTCACTGAACCAACTGATATGGGTCCCCGACCCTACTGTGACATTTTGTGAGAATGAATAAATTATCGGAAGACGTGTTTGCATCAAAAATACTGAGTTTTGTAATAAGCACATAAATCATCCCAGCGTTTCCCAGCAAGATGCGGGGTCCTAAAAATGAGGAGCGTTCATATTAATTTCCTCCCTCCAGCATCCTTCTTTGTATATTACCTGCATGCTCTGGGGGGTGATGGAGAAACATCAATTTGGAAGAGCCAGGTAGCAAGGTGTAAAGAAAATAACTCTTCCCAACAAAGTTTTCCAGGCAGCCTCTCTTGCTCCCTACAAGACTCAGCTTCTCCAAGCCTGACTTTACCCAAGGCCCACATTGGATTTGCACTTCATCAGTTTTACACCAAAATCTGCTTTAAAGAGCAGCTGTAATTTTGAAGCCATGACACCCATGATCACAGCTAAGCAGACCAAACTCCCTGCCATCAATTCAGTTCTGACTCACAGTGACCCTACAGGCTAGGGTAAACTGCCCCTTTGATTTCCCAATACGGTAACTCTTTACAGGAGTAGAAAGTCCCATCTTTCTCCTGAGGAGTGGCTGGTGGTTTTGAACTGCTGACCTTATGGTTAGCAGCCCAATGGTAAGATGAAATCCTCAACAACGTCAATCATTTC